CTCCTGTACTTATCAATTTATTTTATACATGTTAATTAAGCTCTATTGCTATTTTATAACTATTTTTAAAACCTGCATACTTTAATTTTAAACCCTTTATAAAAAATTAATTTTTTTAAAAAAATGTTCATCCTACTTCTATATTTTCTGTCCTAAATGTTTTAACCTGTTATGAAAAAAAATTAAGTTTGGGGGAGGGAGAAAAACTTTTGAAAAACTTAATTTTATTTGTCCTTAAGAAACTATATTAAACAAAAATATCTTTTTAAAGTAATATGGAGTATGTGGTGTTATTTTTAGAGAACTAATTTTTTTTCCTATAAATATTATGGTAAACTAGTAAATTTTTGGTGATAAAGGTTAGATCTAAGAATTAAGATATTAAGTAAAAGAGAATAGAGATATGATTTTAGAGTTTGGCTTGAAATTGGGTCTAATTGGGTTGGGATTTGATTCTAATTGGGCTTGGACTTGATGAATTTTTGTGTGGATTTGACATTGGGAGAGTTTAAAATGAATATGATGGGTATTGGGGGTGATTTATAGACTTGGGCATTTAAGGGAAATTTGGGAATTTTGGTCAATTTTGGTGAATTTGGGTGAAATTGGGTGAAATTGGGATTATTGGGTGGTTGGACTTGATTTTGGGTATGTTGGAGTGAGTTTGGAATTTTGGGAATTTTTTGAACATGAGGGGCACTTTGGTAATTTTGGGTGGTATAAGGGTATTTTGGGAAATTTGGGGAAATTGGGGTACTTTAGGCAATTTGGAGTGCTTTAGAGTGGTTCAATATGAATTTTTGGTGAGAATTTTAAAATTGGGGCAATTTTAGAAATTTTAGGGCTCCAAGGGCATTTTGGTAATTTTGGGAAAGTTTTGGGGTAACAGCCTAAAGATGGGAGTTTTGGTAGAATTGAAGTTCAATGGATATGCTGATCATGAAATCACCCTCCTTATGCCATGAGACCAATTAGAGAGCCCATTTTGGATCCTCCATACGTTGGTCCTAGCCACCTTAGCCAACAACTAAGGGCTTGAGACCACCCACACGGGGCTCATCTTGAGCTCCCTCATACTGACCCCATCTACTAAGTGCTAGAGGTTATGACCAATATGTATAACTCCAAGTTGAGCAAGGATGAGTTTAAAAATTCTAATGGTGAGGGTTCCTTTCTAATTTTCTAAGAATAATGAATAGGAAAGTCCTATGGCTAGATCCTAGGCTATTAAAGAGGGAAAAATAAATCTCAACCCAAAGTAATGTCAACATATATGTTTTGAACTATTTGGTGAAGTAATTGTTGTGGATTTGTTTTGATTTATCACTGCCTTTTGCTTATACTGATTGCTAGTTGTTGATACTGCACTATTGTTTATTTTTCTATACTATTGTTGTTATATATGTTTATTTTGTTAGAGGGCTCCTGTACTTATCAATTTATTTTATACATGTTAATTAAGCTCTATTGCTATTTTATAACTATTTTTAAAACCTGCATACTTTAATTTTAAACCCTTTATAAAAAATTAATTTTTTTAAAAAAATGTTCATCCTACTTCTATATTTTCTGTCCTAAATGTTTTAACCTGTTATGAAAAAAAATTAAGTTTGGGGGAGGGAGAAAAACTTTTGAAAAACTTAATTTTATTTGTCCTTAAGAAACTATATTAAACAAAAATATCTTTTTAAAGTAATATGGAGTATGTGGTGTTATTTTTAGAGAACTAATTTTTTTTCCTATAAATATTATGGTAAACTAGTAAATTTTTGGTGATAAAGGTTAGATCTAAGAATTAAGATATTAAGTAAAAGAGAATAGAGATATGATTTTAGAGTTTGGCTTGAAATTGGGTCTAATTGGGTTGGGATTTGATTCTAATTGGGCTTGGACTTGATGAATTTTTGTGTGGATTTGACATTGGGAGAGTTTAAAATGAATATGATGGGTATTGGGGGTGATTTATAGACTTGGGCATTTAAGGGAAATTTGGGGATTTTGGTCAATTTTGGTGAATTTGGGTGAAATTGGGTGAAATTGGGATTATTGGGTGGTTGGACTTGATTTTGGGTATGTTGGAGTGAGTTTGGAAGTTTTGGGAATTTTTTGAACATGAGGGGCACTTTGGTAATTTTGGGTGGTATAAGGGTATTTTGGGAAATTTGGGGAAATTGGGGTACTTTAGGCAATTTGGAGTGCTTTAGAGTGGTTCAATATGAATTTTTGGTGAGAATTTTAAAATTGGGGCAATTTTAGAAATTTTAGGGCTCCAAGGGCATTTTGGTAATTTTGGGAAAGTTTTGGGGTAACAGCCTAAAGATGGGAGTTTTGGTAGAATTGAAGTTCAATGGATATGCTGATCATGAAATCACCCTCCTTATGCCATGAGACCAATTAGAGAGCCCATTTTGGATCCTCCATACGTTGGTCCTAGCCACCTTAGCCAACAACTAAGGGCTTGAGACCACCCACACGAGTTTCCAAAAGAGTGAGGGGATAGGTCAAGTAAAAAGTGCTTTTAGAGGCTTGAGTTTAGATGCTTTCTTAAATTTGAACTCTTCGTCACAAAAATTTTGTTCAGTTTTCGTAAGTTTACTTTTGAAAGTTTAGCAATTAATTTAATTAACTTAGTTTTTTAATAGCATTTTATTTAACATTCACTCATTTACTCTAGATTCGAAATTTGTACATGACTTTTGTAGTTTAAATTGTAATTTACATTATAATCATAAGAATTTACCTATAAGCATTTTCAACTTCCCTATGGGATCGATATCGGGGACTCAATTGGAGCCCTTTATTACTTTTATTACTTGAGTGATATGTATACTTGTGTTATTTATGCGTTATTTATTTGGGATTTGATAGTTTAAAGATTTTTAAAAGATAAAACTTTTTTCACTAAAGTTATTTTTGTTGGGATTAAATTGCATATTTATTATTGTATCTGTTGTGTGTATTTTGTAATATTGACAAATATTTACAAAAATAACACACTAAATCTACCCGCATCAGAAGGCAACGACGGGATCGTGGCATACATAGACCACTGAAAGTCCCATCCTTCTCATACTTCTGCTTCGCTTCTACTAGAAACCATTGAGGAAAATAAGCCTACTGACAGTATTCTTCCTCTTTGCTCGTCCCATATTTACTAAATTTAACGATTCACAACATTTACTAAATCCCGGATTTACATCGAACTAATGTCATTTTAGGATTTACCAAATCTTAGGATTTACGGAGATGCATTTTGTTGTTTGGCCGGATTTAGGGTCTGTTTGGGGCAACTGCAACTTATTAATAGGCTACTAATAAACAGCTGATCCAGATAAACTGTAGAGCTGCAACTGATTTGGATAAGCTAGTTGGCTGTTTGGTTTGTGTTGTTGGAAAACAAATGTTTTGCAGCTGTTTATAGATAAATGACAATTTTGCCTCTGTGTTGTAATGTTGTTTGCAACAAAACTGTCATAGAAATATCTTCAGAACAATATAAAAAATAAGATACACACCTCACTTTGTAGTGAATATCAAGATTGCTAAATAGAAAGAAAATAAACAATTAAAATTACAATTAAAAAAATGATAATATTAATTTAAAATACAGACGAGGTATGCCAAGAGCTACATCGTCCTCCAGGGATATCATTCAACCTCAATCACTATCAGAAGTTGAATCTGTCGGACTGTCTGCCCACCGGAAGATGTCACACTTCTCTGCGATGCTCTACGGGCACTTGTAGAACTGTCACCCATAGCTATGTGCCCAACGTAACGTCAGTAAGGAAGTCTGTAGTTCGTAGTGGCAGAGCATTTGTCGTGAGGTTCCTGAAATCCTAGAGCCCATCTTCCCTAAATAATTCAAAAGACAATCAATTAGTCATAAATGAAGATAAATTGACAAAAGAAATAATCAGTTACAGTTTTGTGCACGCGTGAGGTCTCAGAGAACTAACTACACAACCCCACCAACCAGTCACAACAAGAACACAATAGACCTTATAAAACAGGAGTTCTCGGTTGCCTTTAGCTCTCTTATCACCAAGCTTGTGTGTGTCACATAAGGATATTACAAAAAAAAGACCATCCATAAATACCTCAAAAACCCCAACATCGAAAATAAGAAATGAACTATATTACATTTATCAGGATTTCACATGTGACACCAACCAACAATGACTAATAGATAATCTAGAAGAACTCACAAGGTTGAACGTCTCATCATGGACCTCACAAATCTACAAAAAAAGAAACAGAAAAGAATAAAAAAGAAGAAAAAACAATTACAAACAATATAAAACATATAATATCTAAAATATCAATAATACATGGAACATAAAATAAACATGGACTTTATAAATTGATAAAGTAAACAATTATGGTTTTGTGCAGGCGCAAGGTCTCTGAGAACTAAGTACACCAACCCCACCGAACCTGCATAACAAGAAGACAACATATCTTAAAAGACAGAGGTTATTGATTGTCTTTAGCTCATTGAATATCAAGCTCGTGTATCATGCATACCACTAAAAAAGGCCATCCAAAAGTACTTCAAAAACCCCCGTATCGAAAAAAAAAAGAGGAACTTGGTTGCCTTTGTCAGTATTTCACATATGAAACCAACCAACAATAATTAACATACCATCCAGAAGTATCTAAAAAACCCCAGCATCGAAAAGAAATGAGGAACTTGGTTTCCTTTAACAAAATTTCGCATGTGACACCAACCAACTGACTAATAGGCCATAAAAAAGAGCCCACAAGATCGAACGTCTCATCATGAACCTCACAAACCCACCAAAATAAAATAAATGAAAATGAATTGAAGGAGCAAAAATAATTACAAATAGCATAAAATTTAGAACATCTAAAATATCAATAATACATGAAACATAAAATAAACATGAACACATTAAAAAAAATATAAAAATCGCGTAACCAACATCCAACCCTCTAAATTATTATTAGTATTTGTTTTCACTGAGCATCTGGCGCAAGACCGAACCAACCAGCTTAGCAAGGGTCGCCTGGTTTAGAGGCCTGGCCAAGCAGAGGCTACGCTGCCGTGGAAGAGGGAAAAAAAGTGCGCCGTCGCTGGCATATCCTCTGTCTCAATCATTGGCGAAGAGCTCTGCAATTGGAGGTATTTTATTCCTTTTTCTGTTTTCTTTTCCCTCCTCCCCTCTACATTTTTCTTCGGGGTTTTTACATACCTACCACCGGAGGTCACATTTCTAGCGGAGAGATGACCTCAGGGAATCCAGATCTACGTACTTCTTCTTACTCTTTCTCATAAACGTCTAAGTCTAGGTAAAACCTAGCAAATGAAACGAAATCTGATGAATTCATTTAGTTTTAGAATCCAGATCTGCGATTTTGTGGTAATCTTAGCTTTTTTAAAACTTCAGCCTTGACCCTTTATCGAAAGCTTCATTCCTGAATTTGGCTGAGGCTACAAAACGTTGTTTATCTGATGAGATACGATTTCCGCCCCAAACATTTTTGAATTACTTTATTAAGGACTCATCCTTCCTTTAGAGAGTTTCCATCACTTCATGTAAAATACACTGGGTGTATGTCTGACCTATTTATGTGATCCCATTTATTTTGTATGCGGTCATCTTGCTGTCATCTTCTTTGGTTTTGTTGGGATCATGAAGAACTAATATTTCAACTTTATAACTCTAGCACTAATGAAGTATACTGAATATTATTATTTCTACTGCAAATTGCATTATAGAGCTCCTATTTAACTCATTGTCAGACATCCATATTGCCTATACTGCATAAACTTGTACTGCAATCACCGCCTATGCCACTGAATCAATTTCAAGAAAAGAGAAAGTGTGATGATTTTTCGACTCAGCAGATAACTTAATCATATTATAACTGCCAGTAGGCAATAAAAATGGAGGTATGCATGCCCATGTATTGAAGGTTCATGATAAATCACATGGATATCTATATACAACAATGACAGAAAGTAAGATAAAATTATCAATACGTGAGTATGTCTCTACAGAATATGAAGCAAATGAAACATGGTTTATATTTATTTCATTTCAAGACCTCTCATAGAATAAGGTAAGAATGTATATCACAAACAGATCACTAAAAAGAAATAACATGTCAAAGTGAACATGTACAAGTTTTCATATGCAAGTTCGATATAAATCATCAAATTAAAAAAAAAAAAACATACAAATCATCTCATTCAGATAATTCAAATTCAAATTGTTAGACAACTAGGTATACTTGGTTGAGACCAGCCATCATGGTTTAAAGCTCTCGAACCAGTTATCTGCCACACCACGGGTTAGATTCGAAGGACTTATCAGCGCTAACTTGAGCTAACCGCATTGGGCTGTGCAATTATCCTTCTTGGTACAGAGACTTCAATATAATTGTTGATGATAGAAAGATGTACACATAGTTTGTTAGATTTTAAGTTGAGGGGATGAATAACAATGACATATATCATGCAAATCATGTTTATATAATATTAACTAAAGAGCCAAGCCTTTTCTAATGCAACAATATAAAGATGATTTGCAAAAACGTAGATCTTTCTTCTCACCTTCACAACAAGATGGTAATGTTATGCAATAAAATGAACCCAGCTTTTCTTTCCCAGCACTATGATAGTAATTGCATTGATATAAATGATAGTAAGTAAAATGCAAAAAAGCATGCACTATAATGCAAACCTTTCTATTGCAGTTTGGCCAAGAAAAATACCTACATCCTATACTTGAATCGTCCTATTGAGATTTTTCTAAATCTTCTTCGCAATCATAGGTAGAGAAGCTCACAACAAATGCTCTTTCATTGGTAAATGAGCCACCTTATAATTCTAATTAATGTCAAAAGCCCGCTTTGCCTAGCACATGTTTAGATCACAACGTCTCAACTTTAAGGCATGGAATCGGCTACTCACAACATAACTAACTTGATAACATCCTTGTAAATCGATGTACACTTTAAGATTATAGATCTCTCTTTTACAAACGAAGAACAAAGCTCTTAAAGCTGAATATGCAAATGGATGATCAAAGGAAGGGAATTAGAATGATTTGGAGTGGAGAAAAGAGCATCTAGGTTATTTTATTTCTTTTCCCTTTTATTAATGCATAGCTTAAGCCTTTCCGAACTTGTCCATTAACACGTCATGTTTTCAATTAACCTTTTTTAGTTAAGCGCAATCAGTTGTTCATTGGAATAAATTTTGAATGCATTATTGTACTCTTCAATCTTCTTATTTTTAGAATATGAGTTATAGATCGTGCAACATAATGACATAATCTTTTATGGCCCATAGATGGATTATTCAAATGTAATTAATTTCATTGATTTGGCGATTATAGTTTGAATTTTAGCTTGATCATAGTATGATCATTTTTATATGATATGATCAATATAATATAATATGTTTCATAGATGGATATATTAATTACATTTAATTCCTTCAGCTATTTGTCACGCTCCGCCATCTTCAAGAATAATTGGAAAACTAAACATGGGAAATGAAGATTCTAGAGAAGCCCAAAATGTAGAGAGCAATCCAAGGGGCTCTAGAAGATTACATGGTATTCTAGAAAAAACTAGAAAAAAGAAGAATATTTTAAAGAATTCTAGTAAGTTTCACATAATTCCAGAATTATGCTGAAAGAAGCAGGCTTCAAGAGAATTCTAGAATATTATGGAAAGTTCTAGTATCATGTATATGTAAAGAATAATGTAGAACTATCTAGAAATTAGTGTATCTTAATGTAATTTAGAATGTTCCCTTATCTTGAAGAGGAATGTAAATAGAAGTCCCTACCCTCATTTGTAACCATTTAAGAAAGAACCCTAGAAAATCATCTAAGCTTCCAAGTTTTCAAGTGTTGGAATTCTTCTTTCTTAGTGAAGTGTTTCTTTCTCCAATACATCTCCCTATTCTTCTTAGAGTATTTTGTGCTTACAAGTCCAAGTGTTGTGAGGGATATTAGGCTGATTTTGTGCTAAAGAAAAGCGCTAAAGCCTGACTTGGGATAAGTTAGTCCGTGATAGTTGGCATCAGAGCCTCGGTTCGAAGCTATAACAAAGAGCATTAAAGAGCACGTAATGGAGTCTGAAGCCATTAATATGGAAACATCTCAACAAGGGCGAGGTCGTAAGGAGCAACGAGATCGAGCTGCATCCAAACGACATGGGAGGTCCAAGGAGATCACACGACTTACTCAAGTGAAGGAGGCGATGAATGGCGTGGAGGCCCAGATAGAGGATCTTGGCTAAAAAGGTTGATAGACTCGAGGAGGACATCACAATCCATTTAACGATTAGAAGTATGATGCTCCAATTGGAGGAATCCTTAAGGGATCAAATGGAAGACGCGGGAGGATTTGATGGGGGAGCTCTAGGAGGTACGAAAAGCCCATGAAGAAGAGTTGAGAGCCGTGCATGGTAGCTTGGAGGAAATGCGTAGAGACATCTCACTATGCAAGAGGGCTCTAGCGACACCCACCAACCATCACACCTTTGAAGCTAAGAGGATTGAAGTTCCAAAACCAAAGAGTTTTGGAGGAGCTCGCAATGCGAAGTAAGTGGATAACTTTATATGGGGAGTTGAGCAATATTTCGAGGCAATGAGGATTACGGTTGAAGAGATAAAAATACAATTTTCAGCTCTTTTTCTCTTAGACATAGCTATGTTGTGGTGGAGAAGAAGACAAGTAGATATAGAGAAAGGTATGTGCACCATATCCACCTTTAATGACTTCAAGGGAAAACTAAAGAGACAGTTCTATCCCAAGAGTGCGGAGGATGAGGGTAGAGCTAGATTGCGAAGGCTCAAGCAAGAGGGATCAATTTGGGAATACATTAGGGAGTTCACAAGTTTGGTTCTTGAAATTCCCGACATGTCTGACAAAGATGCTCTATTCAACTTCATGGATGGACTCCAACAATGGATAAAGATTGAGCTTAGGAGGCATGGAGTGCACGATCTTGTCACTGCCATCGCAATCTACGAAAGCCTAGTTGACTACTTAAGAGAGTCCAAAAAGCCAATGGATAAGAAGAGTACCTACATCAAAGTTGGGGAGGATAATGATCAACATAAGAAGGAGAGTCGTCGTGAATCGACCCTATCCAAGACAAAAGACAAGGGGAAGTTTAATAATAAAATAAAACCACATAACTGCTTTCTTTGTGGAGGACCTCATTAGGTAAGAGATTGCCCTCAGAGGAAGACCCTAAACTCTCTCTTTGCAAGCCATCAAGAGGAAAAGAGAAGCGATATGGCCGCACAATTGGGTCTATACAACTGCTGAATGGGATGTAAGCTCCAACAAAATCCCAGGCGAAGGGGTTACTCTTTGTAGAGATAGTAATATGCGGAAAAACCGCTAGAGCAATGGTGGACACGGGTGTTTTCCATAACTTTATCTCCACCTAGGATGCAAAGAGATTTGGTTTGCAGATGACTAAATGAGGAGACTCCATCAATTTAGCCAATTCAACAGAAAAACCAATCCATTGAATAACCAGAGGAGTCAAGACCAGCATTGGAGCTTGGCCAGGTACCAATAGCATATGCATTATGGAAGGGAATCAAGCTTGTTTAGTACCGATGACAAGGGCTAACAAGCAGGAAGTTAAAGTGCTATTGACCATCCAATTCAAAGATGGCATTCCAAAAGAAAAGGGGAGTTAGTCGACTGATCTTCACGACTTCGATAAAAAAATGAAGCCCCAAGAAGGCATGCCAAGGGAAGTGGTGGAGGTTCTTAAAGAACTACCACCGAGGGGGGGAGAAAAATCATCTGATTAGGCTTGAGCCAAGGACTAAGCTGCCAGCCATAAAATCTCACTACATGACACCCCTCTTCATACCACCATGGAAAAACCTAGGTTTTCCAAAAGCAAAAAAAAGAAGTTGGTTCGAGTGCTAAGGGGAAGCCGCAATGAGGGCATTGCGAGCTTAAGTGGAGGAGAGTTTCACGCTTCGCCATCTTCAAGAATAATTGACAAACTAAACATGGGAAATGAAGATTCTGGAGAAACCCATAATTTAGAGAGCAATGAGTCTAGAAGATTCCAAGGCATTCTAGAAAAAAACTAGAAATAAGGAGAATATTCTAAGGAATTCTAAAAGGTTCC